TGAGGGTGCCAGAGCCCTGGCACAGGCTGCCCAGAGAGGCTGTGGAGGCTCCTTCTCTGGAGATCTTCAAACCCGCCTGGATGCCGCCCTGTGCTCCATGTTCTGGGTGTCCCTGCTGGAGCAGGGGGTGGGACTGGATGATCTCCAGAGGTCCCTGCCAGCCTCAGCCATTCTGTGGTTCTGTGTATTATATGTAGTATGTAAGTACAATATACAATATAGATTAAATGTTTATAAACTAGATATTTCACCTTTTAAAATATGATTTTTTTCACACGAAATAGGCAGCTTTCAGGAATAAACCTTAATATTTTAAATCTTAAAATTTATGTTATTTATTAAATTAAAATTTAGGCTCAGTTTAGATCGTGATATTGAAAAAATTCAACCATCTATTTAAAATTATTTCAATTTGTCAAACTAAGTTTGGGCCATTCTTCTTTTTTCCCCCCTTCTCAATTTTTTAGGGTTCCTGGTATAGTATTTAATATGTTATAGTGCAGTAATAATAATGATGACCTTTGTACATGTTATAAAGCTTAGTGAACATTAAAAGTTACCTCTGAACATTTAAGCAAGATGCTTTCTGAATTTGTCAATATTGGATTTATTTGGTCCTTAAATTTAAAAGAAGTGTCTCCATTGGTCAGGAAAAAGGATTTTCTCTTGTTTGGAGAATCATTATGTGTTGCAATTTATGTTACAAGCTCTTTAAGATAAATAAAACCTGTAAGATCAGTCTATGTTTTCTTGATTCTATTCTCTAAAACTAGTAGTGTAGCAATAAATAAACAAATTTAAATTTTAAAATTCTAAACTTAATAAATATCTTTTATGAGACCTAGCTGATAAGTTAGGAAAAGTGTGTGGATATGTGAAATAGAGCATGCTAATCAGAAGTAACAAAAAAATTACAACATAAATAGGGGTTGGAAGCAATTGCTCTTAGCTACATTATTAGCATGTGGTCCTTAATGATAGGGGTTTGGGAGGTTACTGTCAGGTCTGAATCTTGCAGCAAATATTTCTCAAGCTGTTCAACGTCTTTCGGGATGTTTCTCTCCAGCAGGGATAACGTGCTGGACAACGTGTGTATGTGCAAATAAACGACTTTTCTTTTCAGTACTTCAGCTAAGGCTGCAGCAACGGCGGACACGAGAACAGCTGGTGGACCAGGGCATCATGCCACGTAAGATTTGCTTTTATTTTCGTAATTCATATCACTCTGCATTGTTTGAAAATGCAAAATAATGAAGATTAACATTTCTGTAAAAAATTTTAAAACTAACAATAATTTAATAAAACACATGGATCCTTTTGGTAGTGTAAATGAGCATATTTTTACCTTTTGGTTAATGAAGCCCTTCAGACCTCATCAGAATATATGCCTGTATTTGGGGTGTAGATTCCTGGTGGGGTTTGAACCCAGTGACATGAATTCTAATGGTCACTTCTGTCCTTGACGGTGGCTTTTCTGGTTGCAGTTAATTCTGCTTCAAGAGGCAGAGCAAATTGCATATTTATGACTCATTCCATTTTACATCCTCCAGACTCTGTCCTAAGATGATGTTGATGTTAGGCTGTAACCAGGCAGTGAGCTTGCCAGCTTTCCTCCCTAGGATTCATGTTTTGAGGGCTGAACGCGTGTTTCACACTTGCGGTGACAGGAGAGCTTTCCGAATCTCCCACAGGCCCAGATTCTCTGTGAGCTGCTTGTATCTGCTGCTGAGAAATCCAGAACTGGGGCTTTTCCAGTGCAGTAAGAAGTGCCTCAGTACTTAGGTGACAAGCAGCACCCTGGCCGTGGCGGCTCAGCCAGGGCCTTGGGGAGCCCCTGTCACAGCACGGGGGGACGTTTCTCTTGCAGCTCCCGCAGCTCCAGCTGTTGGGGCAGGGCCTCTTGCCCAGCACCAGGCACTGCTTGTGCCAAGGACACTGGGATCCTCCACCCCGTGGGGAAGCTTCTTGCTTGGGGGTCCCCACTGTTTCGATGCAGGAGCTCATGTGGAGGAAGAGCTTCCCTGGTAACACCCGCACTTTGATACGCGCAGCTGGAGTTCCCCGAGTCGCTGCAGGCGCTGCCCTATGGCTGAGGGCAGTAAAATAGCCGGGTGTTTGGTGCAGCCTTCCTGCCAAGCAGCAGCACTGAGAGAGGTTGTCCCGTGTGAAGGATGCTCTGCTCTGCGCAGTGAAGCACTCCCTGCTGGGATGCACTAACACCAGAACTCATGCCACAAAACAAGAAGTCCTGAGTTGCCACTGCATAAGCTTTCTTTTGGTTAATGGGAAGAAACAGCAGGTGTGGATCATGGCAAGGGAAGGTCGTGGCATAGTTTGAAGGACCATATACATTTCTGTCAGCTATGTCTGCCCCAGCCTGGGACAGAGGACAGCCAGGTGGCTCCTCATCGAGAGCCAGACCAGGTCCCTCCTCATTCTGCGATCCCATAATTTGCCTGTTGTTTTTCAGGAGTGCAGAGGGGCTTGCTGCTGCTGCTGCTGGTTTTCACAGTAGACAGCAGGCCCTGCAAATGCCTCCTTTCGGTCTGGATACCAGTATACCTCAGTATAGGGAAGAGAAAGCAATTTATCTAGTACATAGCTCCAGAAGTTTTTTATTTGGTCTTTCATTTAGTTGAAATTTGCTTTGAATTGAGACATATTGTGTGATTGTTCTGTTTTCTAACCCATTTCTAATTGATCATTCCAGATTTCCTGCAGTATATTAAAAAAAGCACAAATATGTTAAAGGGACAATCTAGCTGCCTACCAACAGCAAGATGAAGTATAGGTGGATAGTAATACAGTGGAATGAATGAGACAGTATTTTGTCCTTCTGAATGCTTCCTTATAAAACTTCTGCTGTGGAACAGTTTGGCCAAATAGACACCCATGTACCTGGTGTTAACGTGGTTAACTGCTGCACAGGGACAACTGGCAAAATCAGGTATTCCACATACCCTGCAGAGGGGGGATCATCTTCATCTGAGCAAGTGTAACTGGGGTGAATCAAACACATAAGCCTGCCTAGATGCAAAACCAGCTTCGAGATGGTGCTGAATGCCCATAGAAGTTTACAGACTGGAGTATTTCTTAGGAAATCATATCCTGTCAGTTGAACTTTTTCTTTCTCTCCACAGCTTTGAAAAGCCCAGCCGCATTCCATGAGCAGATAAAGAGCCTGGAACGAGCCAGGGTAAACACTACGCGTGAACTTGCTGTTAACATATGAAAGTGTTGGTTCTGTGTGTTGGTGCTAATGTTTACATTACATCTAAAAGTTACTAAGACTGTGCTTGCATACGTGCCTGCATCCTGGAAGAATCCATTGTAATAAAAGTATCAAATCTAAGAGGAATTTTTTTAATCATTTGTAAATCAAGCAGGTGGGGTGATAAAATAAGGCCATATTCTGTCCACTTACAGTGAAAGGACAGAATGTTTGGGTTGAAATGCAACTTGTACTGTATTTCTGTAGCAAAGTTCTGACTGTGAGCTGGGGTGTTGTTATGGGCTAAAATCCAGAAATATTTCTAACTTGTTTGAGGAAGACTAATGCAAAGAAGTAAAAGGCCAGTGGCACTGCACAAGCAGTGCAGCCCACCTGAAGGCAACATAAACTGTAAATACTGGTTGCACATCAGTGCTGTAACAGTGAACCATCTATTTTGTGCTTTTCCCACTAAATGCTAATGTCATGTAATATATTTCTTTAAAGACTGAAAATTTTTTGAAGCACAAGATTCGCAGCAGGCCGGATCGGTCGGAGCTGGTCAGGATGCACATCCTCGAAGGTAAGTACCCAGAACACTTCTTTTTCAGGCTGTAACTTTGGGCCTGAGTCAGACTTGGTTGTGAATCGTTCATAAAGGTTCATAACTGTGTTTCTCTACTTGTTCAGTGTATCTGTTGTAATCTGTATTCCAGATCTGTATGGTAGTAGACCCGTCTCTGTTAGTGAAGGTATTCTCTCCACTGAGGATTGGTTTGCAAGCGCGAGTCGCTTTTATTCTGTCAGGGTAATCTTACCATGAAGTACATGCATACGATATACAGGGCTTCAGCTTCTACTGCTTACTCCGAAGCAACCTTACAGCTTTATATAACTTTTTTTCCCCAAAAAAACATAAGTAACCGTTAGTAAACTTGACTTTTGCTGTGCTTGGTTATTTTCCTTGGTGCTGATGTGATCTGAAACAGTAGCTTTTTTATGAATAGAACTGTATTACTGTTTGCGTCAAAATCTTGCCAAATGTAGAAAATACCAAAAAAACACAATCCAAGTCAGTTTAATATTAATATCAAATCAGTTTATGTTAATATGAAATAATAATTATTATTCAAAACATTCATTTGGATACCGAACTCCATAGTGATAGTCCGTCCACATGCTGTCATTGAAATGCGTGAGTTTTGGATGCTCAGCATGGAGCAGAATACTGAAGCCAACGTGCCTTTCAGAGACGTTTGCGGAGCCTTCCCTACAAGCCACTCAGATGAAACTGAAGAGAGCTCGGTTGGCAGATGATCTGAATGAGAAGATTGCTCAGAGGCCTGGCCCAATGGAACTGGTAGAAAAAAATATTCTCCCTGTAGACTCCAGCGTTAAAGAAGCGATTATAGGTAAGTAGGACAGCCACAGGTTGTATCTGTTACCATTCCAGTATTATAGAAAATAATAATTTAAGTCTTAAGAGTAATACTCACCACAGGAAGGCATACTCTTTCAGCTTCCGAGTCCTTAACTCTGTCACCCTTTAATTGAGGATAGTTGTGCTAAGTTCTTCTTATTCTTTGAAACTGTTAGAGCTGCACAGTTAGAGTACAATATTCCTCTCGAAAATACTTGTTTCTTAGTAAAAGCATCTTACCAGTTAATCATAGACACCTATGGCAGATGAATTCATGGCCACGTATGTTGATGTACACTGCTAACGTGTTGAACATGCCTTTTCACCTCTCACAAGGAGGAAGCTCTGTTGTGCACTCGCTTTTATCAGATCTATATGGCTTTCATTGCATCAAAACCCCAGCAAGTACTTGGGTACTGTGCAGTTAGGTTGTCCTGAAATCAGATCAGTTCCAGCAATTGTCTAATTCTGACACCAAAGCCTAGATTTTAACTAAAAAAGATTTTTTTTTTGCATGTGTCTGTAAACATTTAGGCAGTTGGACAAGAGAATTATCCCCAAGCTTTGGAAGATTTTTCGTTTGACGAGGACAGCAGCGATGCTTTGTCACCAGATCAGCCAGCCAGCCAAGAATCCCAGGGTTCCACCGCCTCCCCGGGGGAGCCCAAAGCCAGTGACTCGCCCTCGCCAGTGACCCCCGGTGCTGCCACCTCGGCACAGGTACGGCCGGTGAGAGCTCAGGCAAAGTCGCCTCAGCGCAGGGCCTGGAGCAGAGTCTCCTGTGAAATGAATACAGCTGGTGATGCAGGGTGGTGCCCGGAGCTCCCTTTGCTGCTGACTTTGCAGAGCAGCGTCCTGGCAGCGACGACGCTCCAGGAGGGGCAGTGGGGCAGTGTATTCCCTGCAGTGCATTATTTCTGTAGAGCATCTACAGCTTTCTCAAAAGTTGCTTAAAATGACAAGTCCACAGTTTTCTCCAGCTGCTACTGAATTTGTGTTCTAGAATTAAACTTAGCTAAGTAGTTGACATCAGCTCCGTTATCTCCAGAAAATATAAAAATAAGATTTTGCCATGTAATTTAAATTTCTTTCATATAAAGTTCTGAATTTTTTGGTTTTTGGTGTTTTCTTGAATTATTTACGATATGGAACATAGATGAAATAGTCTAATGTGTGAGGATTTTGAAGAACAGTTTCTTCACAAAAGTGAAATTTGGAGTGGTTTAAAGTTTGAAGTGGTTTAATTCTCTACTGCTGAGAGAAAAATTGATTTTGAAAGAAACATACTTCTGTGTATTTAACAAGACTTGCAAAAATGAATTTTGAGAGAGAAAACTTCTTTAAACAGTTTGATTTGTGGTCTGAAATGGGCATTGCCAAAGTTTGGATGCTTCCCCTGAAAGCAGATATACTATCACAGAAAACCTGCTTTGATGAGGCGGTGTGTTTTACAGAATATCCATGTTTACGTTTCAATAATTTCCTTGTTGGAGATTTTTTTTGTTTTCATCACAGTGTTATATATTGAATGATGTCTAAATGACTGCAGTTTAATAATATTGCAGTTTAGCAATACTGCATTTAGCTTCATGTTGTTGGTATCAAGATACCAAACAGGGTATAAACAGACATAGAAATTCCAAGAATTTTGTAATTTTGGTTTAATCAGCTAAAATGGTCTACATTTATTTGAGCTGTATTTTTTAAGTGGAAACTCTGAATTTGATGGAAATTCAGAAATTTTCAAATTTAAACTTAGTTAATTTTGCACAGATCTGTGCCTGGTAAAATAAACTTTGTAATCTTTTTTTTTTTTTTTTAGCATAAACTATTTAATTTTGAAAGAATTTGCCAGTGTAGGAAAATTTGAACAATACATGGATGCTATAAACTCTTTTATAGATATGTTATTTAGGGAAATGCATTTGTTTGTGTATTTAAAGTGTTTCTTACCCAAGCTAGGGCTCTGCACAGGGAACTGTGCTGCAGTCTGAATAATAGCTTCATATTACTTTCATAAATCCTAGTTATTTTAATGACCGGGAATCCTTTACAATTCCGTATTTCAGGATTATCAGGATCTGGAATTACTCTCGTTGCTTTTCTTATTGCTGCAGCAAGAGACAGAAAGCATTGCAGGGTTCATACTCGGAAGCAATGCTGCACAAATAGTAGTGGGCATCCCTTTTGTTTCGTTGTTCGCTAATGTGCAAATAAAGACATGAATTAGGTTTCATGTTGAGAAAATACAATTTGTGTTGAATGAGCTGAAAACAAACCACATGCAATTAGATCCCTACATAAAGAGTTCACTTCTTAATGGAGTTAAATAAAAATACTCGAAGCAGTGGTGCATGCCCAAAGCTGTTCAAGGAGGAAGCATGAGACAGGTGACGCGATTGCAGCAACAAAATAATAACAGCACTTGAAGCTGATTTGAAGAGCACTTAAATGGACCTGCAGGCTTCTGCTCACGAATTTCCTAACGTGGCACTGCCACTGCTGTGTACTTACATACAATGCAAAGCTGCTCCTCTGCAGAATAAACCGATCTGGCTTGTTCCTTTTGAAATAGAGAGCCCAGCGTGTCTCTTACAGGAGATGTGTGTGGGAAACTGCTCTTTCATTCTCTTAATTTCCTCTGACAAACATGTTACTTATCATTTACATGTTATGTTTTTAAACGTTATACTTGGCATCTAAGCTGACACTCGCAGTAAACTTGGAAAATCCGTTTTTCATATATCCTGTTTTCCTTTGCATTTTAACTTCACCTCTTAAGATCACTTGCATCATTTTAAGATGCAAGGAAAAGTTACTTGTTTTATGGCAAGGAGACTACTATGAAGTTCAATCAATATGAGTTTAAGAGATTATGTTTAGAAATACAGTAGCTCTTCTTTTTAAAGGGCCTTGTGTGGTCCTTGTACAGATGCTATAAAAGGTGACTAAGAAACATGTGAAGTTCTGCTGTTTATATAGGTGCAAGAAGCATCAGAATGATGAAAGGCAAAAGACTGCATGAT